GGAGAGGGAGATTGAAAAGCTCAGTATCATCAATTGACGCATGCACTGCACACCACCCCTTTGCCTCAAAGTGCTAGCTGGGGCCTGGGTTCTGGCAACCCTCCAGCCCCTGGAGCAGTTAGTAGGGAAATGCCTGGGACTGTGCAAATAGGGTGGAGGTTTAAAGCCCTCCCTAATCAGAGCATCCTGCCGGGGCCTGGCCATGCCCTCCCTTAGCTCAGCACTGTACAAGGGAAGGGAGGGCTGCTCTAGTGCCCCCTGGCATCTAGCCTGAGCCACTGCAGGCATGTACCTGCATTTCCTCAGTCCAGAGGAAATGTCTGTGCAGTTGCAAACTAACAGAGATTCAATCTAGGCAGGTTAGACTAGCCTGCAAAGATTGAATCAATTCAGGCTTTTGAATGTCTGTCCCTAGCCTTAGAGACTTTCTGGTTCAAAGAGGCATAACGTTTTGTAGCTTTTTATGAAGCTTGCTGTCTGTTTGCCTTCTGCCTGACTTCAGACTAACATAGCTAAAAGTTATTTATATTTTTCATCTTTCACCTGAAAGTTGACCCTTTGAGTTTCCCCTCTTTTCTGATTCAACCTTCCTCAATTTTATTCTGGCTTAAAATGTTTTTTTTTTCTCTTATCATTATTCCCTTCCTCCTGGCACTCCTTACCCCCCAAAATTAGTAACATTTGTGTTATCATATGTAAAAGTTTAGGGATTGCAGCCTCAATTTTTGGTGCCCAACATGTACATGCAATGTTACAATTGTTGCCCAACTTCTTCTTTTAACAAGTTTGGGGTTGTGATATCAAACTGAGTTCCACACAGACCAACTAAAAGTAAATTGGGGTCTGCATGAATGGAATGTCTATTTTCTTGAGATTTTCCAGCTGGTCTAATAAAAGGTATCATTTTGGAACCAAGAGTTCTAGTTTTTTGTATATCCATATGGAGCAACCTGAAGAATAGATGCCCAAGAAAAACAGCCATACATGAAGGGCAGGTAGCAAAGGATAGTTTTCGATATACACAATTATTTTTAACATACCCATGCACAATCATCTCCTCACTTTGCCATATCTCCCACCTCATCAAGTTTTCGCTCCCAGTATTTCTCTAAGTTCTGCATTTCTCCCCATGGATTCTGCTCTCTCATAATTCTGTTTCGCAAACTTATTGTTACTATTTCCTACCTTGCCTTGACTTCACTGTCTGGAAGGAGGAGTATGTTATGTTCATTACAGCTTAACTGGATTCAAGCTACCAGTTTCTGCTCCTCTGTCAATAAAATATTCTCTGCGACCATAAAATCAAATGGTTTCAGAAACACAGGTATTGTTCAACTGTGGAAGAGGAGGATTTTTCTTAAGTAACAACCCCATTATCCTTCTCTCTTCCATGAATCTCCTCTATTCATTCTTCAAAATATGAATAAGGGGAGCATGAAAGTACAGGTCTTTTCCCTTACAACATGACTTATTTACTGATTTTGTAATCCATAGTGATAGACCACTGAATTGAGAATGGAGGAAATGTAATACTAAGATGAGGAAGCAGTGAATCTCTTTTGCATTTCTCATTTCAGACTGGGATATTAATAAACCCACACAAGTGAGGCATACTAAGAAAAATCATAGCATCAAATCAATATATAAAAAAGAAGACTGTGATGGTCAACTAAAAGCAACACTGTAATATAGCCATAACCAAACATCTGGGTTGTACATGTTTCCTCCCAGTCAGGATTCGTTTTCTAAAATTTTCCCCTTGATTGGCAATGCATTAATTCATGAACTTTAACAAAAGTAGGAAATCCAAACAAAAATGATAGGAAACATATATTTATTAAGGTGTTACTAGCATTTGCAACAATTGTTTATCCTTTTTGAGGTACACAACATTCAACTGATCTTCCCTAAGAATTAAAATTGCTGCTGAAAATAAGCCTACTACCATTTTAAAGATTCACTGATTTATGGTTTTACAAAATAACCAAGCTGTTCTGTTCTACTTTTTAAAACCACATAGACCAGAAGAAAAAGAGGTAGAGGAAAACATTTAGTCAAGAGTACCTGTAGCACTTTGGTGCTAGATTCAACTTTAGAAGTTCAGTGAAGTTTTCTGTTCTTCTATCATATTGTTAGATGATTCATAACTACGTCATAGGGACTACTGTACAAAAACCCTTATCTTAAAAAAACATAAACCCCACCTTGGAGGAATTCATTGTATCTAAAAACAAAAATGTATTTTGCACCCTTCTATCTTTTAATACTCCAAGACAAAGAATATTTTAGCCACTGAGGTTTCATTATGCCTTAACAAACAAATCAAGGGTCACCAAACTTCTCATGTGCACTCACGCTGCTTAGTGTTGTCTTTCAGTTCTCACAGTGTTGTGTAAAAACTGCCAGTCAGTCTCTTTCCTGACAGTATTCCACTCCAACAAGAATAACTTCTCCCTTACATATATCAATGAATACACAAAAGCATATAGGATGTTATTTTTGCAAATATGAATTATAGTAAATGAATACATATATTATTTTTTCAGTAATACCTATCATGGTGTAAAAAAATAATTTACATTTCTTAATTATTCAAATAGCAAAATCTATGGGAGGTTAATATGTTAATTATACAACACTATTCTTTCAGGGAGAGTATTCAACCACATTAACTAACCCTTTGCTCTTCAGCATTCTCCCACTTTTTTGTCCTTACTGCATGCAACTTCCCTCTTAAAAAGCTTGAGGGCTTTTTTATAAAGGGAAATTACACATGATTTTCATTTCAGAAGGAGTCCCCATGTGTGCATTCTTATTCGAGAATAAGAGTGCCATTTCCAAGTTAGAAGTGGAGTAAACTGGCATCTGGGAAAAAGTGCTCTTATTCTTACAATGAAAGAACTGATGTGGTTTCTTCAATGCAAATTCACATTTCACCTCAGTCCAAAATAACATTCAAGCATGTGCAAGTCTGAGACTTTATTATAGAGTACTCAAACCAGCAGCTCAGAGAAAACACAAAGCAGTGGATGCTGTGCAGTTCTTCCAGTGAAGTCTGTGTGCACAACACTGTTATTATTTAAGTACTGCAACAACAAGAATGTAAGACTACCAGCTGTGTTCATTTATGTTAAATTGTATGAAGATTTTAACTTATAAATGAGGTAAAAATATGAGCAATATAGTCCTAGAATACAGCATAGATTCTACTATACTATCAAGAATATCTTCTTCAGTCACCATGAAAGATCTTCCTTGTAGCCAGTCTGTTAGTTAAGGACTTCACAATGCAGATCAATGCACTGCTGTCTCTCTGAGTATGCTACACTGAAAGAATTGCACCATAAGAATTGTTACCACATTGTGTTCATACTAATTAGGTTCAAGTCTTGCTGTGAGCACCTGAATACAAAAGTTGTTAAACAAAAAGCCTATACTTTGACTTGAAAAATCCCAAGGGAAAAAAGCCGTAATTATCCCCAAACCCAGATTAATGGATATATATTTCAGTTTTTATTTCAATTTTTTCTGCAGACAGAATAAAATTTTCTAGGGCATTACTCTACCCTCTCCTTGATGCTTGACAGAGATCCTATTTAAAGAGAACCAAACTCATTATCTTAATAACCTGAGGTTAATTTGAACTCAGTCCCCTTACACCAGTCCAATATACTGAAGTAATTATCTATGGTAGGGGTTGGCAATATATGGACCATGGGCCAGATATGGCCTGTGAAGCTAAAGGGCTTTGCCTGTGCCCATGCTCACACCCATTCCCAGATCAGGGAAATCCAGTATGCAGCTGTGTCTTCGCCACCACTGCTTTTCCCTGCTTTCAGCCAGTGGGGAGCTGTGCAGGGGCTGGTCAGCTTTTAGCAGTGTTTGTGCTGCAACCAGAAGGTGGGAGTACAGGGTAGTAGGGAGGAACAGCAGCAACAGAGACACAGTTTGCAACTGCTTATCCCTAGTGCAGTTCTCCATTGGTAGAAGCTCTGCTTGATCCACAGCCAGGGAGTGAGGGGGCTGCAAGAAGCAGTGGTGGCACAGGTGCAGGGAACCCCCCCTGTTTTTGATGTACCTTCAAAGCCATCCAGCCCACATTGTACTGGAGCTGGGGTGTTCCAGCCTGTGGCTTGTTAAAGGTTGCTTGCAGCTGATCTATGGGTATGTCTACACAATAAGTTGCTGTCACTGGAGTAACCGCAATACAGTGCAGAGACACCTAAGTTATCTGTCTAGTCATGGAAGATTTGAGGTCAGCCCAGTCCTCTCTAGCATATAACTAAATGTAGTGTATCTTGGATATCTCCATGCTATATTGCAGTTACTACTGTGACTACAGTGTAGACAAACCCTACATCATTTAATGAATTAACAGCATTTAATACAATGACTGACCTTGACTAATCAGGTAGATAGTAAATGTTCTAAGCTGCTCTTGAGCCATTCAAATGATTCCAGTCAGAATGCCAGGAATGATTCAGTTGACATTGGAGATAAATTGAACTATGTCCCTGAAATAGTAAATCCAGGAGTCATATTGTAATTGCCAAGGGATCATCATAGAAAAAAAAGAAAAGAAAAGCAAACCAGGCTGCTGTTCCTAGATAACTGCCATCAGAAGTGGACACTGCTCTTGACTCACTTCACTTATGCCATAATATTTCTGCTAATAAAAATTAAATTTCTCCTAAAAATAAATTAAACTTGTTATGATGAAGTTCAACAATGAAGGCAGATTACTTAGGAAAGTTAATTGTTGGATGAGTTGTTCCATAGCTGTTCCATCAATGGATATCTAAAGACAGGGAAAATATAATAAATTAACTTACACCTATAATAGTTGGATCCACCAGCTGTTGACAGCTATTAAAACTAGAGTAAAGTTAGGGAAAATCCATCAGGCTTCTCAATGCCCAAAGACAGCATAGAAATGTTCTCCCATTTTGGAAATTCATGATACACTTGAATTCATTTTTAAAGCTGAAATTTGCTCTTACCATCATGATTAGGATTTCCCAAGGTCCATGGCTCATCTGAGTCAAAATGAGTGTCGCCCCCAATTCCTGGCCCAGGAAAATATGCATGAGCCAAAAATCCTCCCTCCCCATCAAAGGGAGAACTGTCTCCATGAAAACCTGATGCAAAAATGATTGTAATATCCACGTCCCTCTTGCCATTTTCTAATTCAATATAAGGAACTTCTTCAAATGTCAGAGGAGTTACATTCTGCCACACATCAAAGGCACGGCGAATGGCTTTACGGGTTTCGGCATCACCTACTTTTGGAGTAACGTTCTTTATGCTGAAATAAAGAAAAGGACAAAAATTTAATCTGATAGCATGGTCAGTGGCACTGCTCACATTCATTTTACTCTGCTTGCTATGGGCACTGACATAACTAGTGCTATTATATCCTTGGAGAATAATAGCTTTAAATAAATAGGTGAGAAATTGCTGCATTAATCTGTGCAGTCTTTTATTCTAGATCTCATTATGGGTTAGCTATTTGATTCTCAGCAGTACAGAAATCTTATTCTAAGACCATTAAAAATATTTCACAAAGAAAAACGCTAAACAGTAGGATAACTGAATTAATCTATCACTGGCTGTTTACTTCTTGGACCACAATTAAAAAACAGTTCACCCAAAGGACAGGATATCATTCTGATCAAAAGCTAAGAATGTTTCCAGTTGAATTAAATTTTAATTTCTTAGTGGGTACAATTAGCAATAGCATAACTCCATACTGTGCCCACCAACCAGCATTTACAAGGTTTCAAAAAAATTCCTGCAACATTCAGAACTACACAACTAATTCCTAATTAAAAACAAAGCCCTTCCATTTAATGACAGGTTATGTTGCTCTTTTATGATTTGATTAAACGTGTCATGACCTTGTGCTAAATTGTATAGCTTATTAGAATAGGAAAGTTTGAAGCATGGTATCTATTCAACAACAGTTTATTTTAACCATTTCTTTAATAGCAAAAGTTCCATCTTAATTTCCAATGCACAGAATTCCCAAACAAAAATATTTCGTAAAATGATTGCGGTTGAAAATATGTTTCAACAGAACCTTACATCTGAAATAGTAAAAAGGCACAGGGAGAGGGAGAATCAATCACTAATCAACTTGCTATCTAGCCAATTCTCATTGCCATCCTTCACACACTGATTTGTACCATTCATCAAATCCTTATTTTATCCCCTTTTTTGGATGTCTGTCCCAGAACTTCTGTATTTGGATATACACTGTTGATTAGAAAAGCAGTTGATTACATGCCCAAGAAAGATTTTAGGAGTGACACTATACCAGAGTATATTAAATTATGTAAGACTTATAAAAGTTTTCATATTGTGATGCAGGGGAACAGGAGAAAATATTTTTACAAATAAAACTGGAATAACTTGTATGTTTAGAGATTTGAAATGTATTTGATGATCTGGTGTTGTTGGTTTAAATAAGTGTTCATATTTGAATTTTTGAACTAACAATGCATACATGAAGTTTAATAAAGACGGAAATATTATATCATCTAGCTTAACCTCCACACAGTCACTTTTGTACTGAACCCGGTAACTTGTGTTTGACTAAAGTATGACTGTTTCTGGTTAATGTGCATCTTCTAGAGTAGCATCAAGTCCTTAAATGAAGACATCATAACATGGAGAATACATCACTTTTCCTAGTAGTTTGTCCAAACAGTTAATAATATTCATCATTCAATATTTATCCTTAACTTTTAATTTGAATTTGTCCAACATCAACTTCCTACCATCAGCTCTCATTGTGCCTTTCTAGGTTACATTTGTATCCTGTCTTTTCAACCCTTGAATGCATGGGGTCAGTCTGGCTGCAGAGCGACTGTATGTGCCAGTCCCAGTACAGACCAGTGATCTAGCAAGCAGAGAAGTGGCAATTAATGCTGTTACCATTTCCCCACCGGCAATGTCTAGACCTGTGGGGAGCCCTACAGGCTGGATAACAGGGGTCAAAAAGCTAAATCGGGTTTGCGGTTTGGAAGTTGAACTGCACTGTTGTAACCAGATTGCACACTCTCAGCCTCTCATTATATGGCATTATGGCCAGGCCTTGAAGCATTTTTGCAATTCTTTTCTTTTTAAACCAGGTCCAATTTTTCAACATTTTTTTTGATATGTGGACTAAAAGTATGCAGTATTCTAATATTGGTCTCATATACCACAGAGAAAGAGAAAATTATTCTTTAGTTCTACCTACCACTCCTCTCCACCTCCCATGTATTTATTTATTTATCTGGTTTATATGCCACCCTTCCCAACAAAGGCTTGAAGTGATTGACAGTAAGAAAATAAGATGACTTAAAAATAGGAGAATGCCAAGAGAAGTAAAAGAGCTTAAAAGGGAACTAGAACACCAAGATAAAAACAGAGCCTTAAGGAAGGGTACTTTGATACCCAAAAGCTGGCCTATGCCTATGTACACACATTCAAAGAATCTGGGAGAATTTTCCCAGGTTTGTTGTCCTGGAAAATAAACTTACCCAGAGCTGCATGTACAGATATTCAAATGCTGACGCCCTAAAGAGGAGAGAGCTTTTAATGTTAATAGTGTGCAGCCAGAAGGAGGTGGAGGGAGAAGGAAGGATGCTGCATATAAATCTCAGCATGCTCTGCAAGCTCCCTTAGTCTGCCTGGTGACAGATGAAAAATGCATAAGGCAGCTCTGATTGACTGACCCAGATTTCCCTGATCAGCCTGTGTTTCCCTGTAGCACAGTCTGGGGACTGTAAAGGGAGTGTGTTCTGCTCCAGAGTTTAGCAAGCAAGCAACATACTGTCTCCCAGGGCATGGGGGAGGGGGCCCATGGAAGGAGAGGGAGATCCTGGAGTAACATGTTCTCTTCTCAGTGAAGCCACAGCATGTACAGACATTCACTCTCCCAGGAGAAACTCTTTCGGGAGTGATTTAAACCTAGTATTTCCCAGGTTATTCTTCTCTTGAGTGGCCATTTTTACTCTGGAAGAAAAAGCCTGATCATCTGTATGCTCATGGTTTCTCTTGGGAAAGCAGCGACTCTCCAGGGAGAAACTTAATGTCTGTAGGAGGCCTCAGTGTATACCAACCATATCATTGATCCAATAAAAAGATATCACTCACAAGAATTCTTGCCTCTTGCATATCTCCTGAACCATCATGGTAACATCATCACCTCAATGCTACCAAGATGAAAAAGAAATCCTCTGAACAACATATCATCCTAGTTTTGTTTGGCGAGTGCCTGCCCCAGTAGGAAAGTAGCCAGGTAACAGAGTCATTTAACATATACTATTGCCATGCACTAAAGTCAAACAACTTATAATGGTCAAAGTATATCACAGGCCCCAAAACTTGACAATGATTAGACTGCTGGTGGCCTGAGACCTAGCTGACTGTCTGTAGTTCCCTGGATCCTCCTTATTCCCTTTCATAGTTTCATAGTTGTAAGGGGCTGGAAGGGACCTTATAGATCATCAGTTCCAGCCCTTTGATCAACAGGGAAATAATTATGCTGCTCTTTTTGTCAGTTTTGAAAGCCATTCCTCTTGGACAACCATATCCATGTATTTAATACAGCAATACATAGTGTTTTGTTGCTGTTGTTTGATACATGTTATTTTCAATTTGGCATCTGCTTCAGGCACAGTAACTTTTGAATCCATGTCTACTGAATCCATGTCTATTGCTTCAGTTGTATATACCTTTCACTGTTGTGTGATTTCTACAGACAACAAATAAGACACCTGAAGGGCTTTCATGTTGATATTGTTAGTCTGAAACATACAGCCTTGTTCATTGTATAAAGGCTTCAGGTTTTCTCTCTCCCACCCCACAAAAATGTTATTCATCTTTCAGGGACAGGTGTTTAGTTTTTAAATGCTGCAAGAACTGCAGGAACATCATCCTCTTTGCAGCTAGCTCTTCAAAACATACTTCACCTGGTTGTTTGGAATGGGTCAGCATAATCAGACATTGATATTTGCCATTGTATTTCAGCATTTTCTTTTTCTTCCTGAGCCATCATTAAAATAGCCTCCCACTGTCCTTTTCACACAACTTGCCACTGCCCTTTTCGTGAGATATGAACAGCCATTTTCCTAAAGTAACCTACAACTAGAGGGAACCCATCAAAGATTGAACAATGCTTGCAATGTGATCACATGAGACTTGCAATGCCCTTTCAGCTTAGCAGGGAGAGTATTCCACAAAATGCAATGCAGTTCTCTGCAGAGGCATCCAGACTACCTTGGTGAAGCAAGCTAGCTTGGTACTAGAAACTGTATAATCATGTTAGTGCACTGTTCTACCCAATCCAATTAGAGGGACAATGTAAAAAAACCTTACTAAGATCAAGATACATAATATCAAACTCTCTCCACCCTCTCCTTACATCCACTACCCCACTCCCTACCTCTGAGGGCTGCAACCTACAGATTAGGAAATGCTGTTCCAAAGAAATAGAATACATAGAAGGATAAAGAGGGTGAGAAATCCAGTTGAATGAGTGAAATGGTCGACTCAACAACCCATCAGAGATAATCAACCGATTCTAGATCCACACTTGATATGAAACAGTTAAGATATAATGAAATGAAAACAAGATCTAAATGTAAATAACTTGTTAAAATATTATCTTCTCCTTGCTGTTGATAGCAATCAAAGCAAAACTGAGCTGAAAAACTGTTTTCTCCTCTTTCTTTTTTTTTCCCCCGTCTTCTCCTGTCTTACCTCTACTCTTATCGAAATGAATTGATTGCCTCTGGTCAAATATACATTTCATTTGTGCCACTATTTCCCTGGAGATGTTTTCTATCAAGTTTCTTCATTAATCTCTCACTGGTTTGGGTTAAGTCTTAACTTAAGCTTCTTTCTGGGCTCATTTTGCTAACCCTTTGTAGCTGTAGCTTAAAATCTTTTTAATAGAAGATGTGATCATGGTTCATAGAGTTACAGTTTCAGTTGAATAAATCCAAATCAGAGATACTGTTTGTGATTTTTTTTGTTTCATGATCACACTAAAAAGCAATGTAGTATTACTATATAAGACAGGAACTATAATTCTATTCCATTTGTCTTTTCAGGGATGATATTCTTCCCATAACTCCTTAAAATGAGAAGGAAAATAACAATTAAGGTGTAGATTTCAAGGATCCAAAGCCAAGATTAGCAAAGCATATTGCAGACATTAGTTATAAGAAAGATATTTTAAGGAGCCTAACATTCATAACTTATTAGGTCTTAATGTAAAATGTATAAAACTTAATAAAACTTTAAAATGAGATC